TAATATGATTATGTTTGAAATTAGTTATGCTCTAAATTATGTGCATATGTTCTAAATTGTATGATTATGTTCTAAATTATGTGCATATGTTCTAAATAATATAATTATGTTGTAAATTAGTTATGTTCTAAAGTTACTTCTTGTGTTCTAAATTTTTCTGGTTATATTCTAGTTATTTCTAATGTTCTAAATTTTTTCCAACTATTTCTATGTTGTGTCCTTATTGTTTCTACTTATGGTTTGATGTCCCAGAAAATCAAGAAGATAATGAAGCAGAACTCACTTACGAAGAAGTGACAGCAAATGTTCTAAATTGTGCTTTTCTAAATCCAGATCATCCACCTACATTGGATGAAGAGGAGAAGCAAGAAGAGGAAAAAGAGGAGAAGAAAGAAGAGGAAAAAGAGGAGAAGAAAGAAGAAAAGGAGAAGAAGAAAGAAGAGGAAAAAGAAGAGAAGCAAGAGGAGAAGAAAGAAGAAAAGGGGAAGAAGAAAGAGGAGGAAAAAAAGGAGATCCAAGAGGAGAAGAGAGAAGAAAAGGGGAAGAAGAAAAAGGAGGAAAAAGAGGAGATCCAAGAGGAGAAGAGAGAAGAAAAGGGGAAGAAGAAAAAGGAGGAAAAAGAGGAGAATCAAGAGGAGAAGAAAGAAAATGAAGGAAGCAAGAATGAAGAGAAGAACAAAGAAGAAAAAAATGAGAACAAGAAAGGGTAATCATTTTGTAAACTTTAAAACAAATGTTGGTTATGGTTTAGTTAAATTTTAATTTAGAACTTGGTAATAATAAATTTTGGTTTGATTTGGTTATGGTTTTTGTTATCAATAAATTTTGGTTTGATTTAGTTATGGTTTTTGTTATCTATGTGATATTTTTTAATTGAATTAAGTAGGAAACAAGGAGAAGAAAAGACACGGAAAAAAAGAGGAAAGGATAAGCTTCCAATGTACTTGCGTTCACCTTTCATGGTTGAACATGAAAAACTTTTCAAGAATGTGGACAATAGAAAGGTAGCTGAGTATGCGTTTGCTCAAGGAGATAATAAGTAAGACTTTAAAACTTTAAAATTATATGCTTATGTTCTAAGCTATATGCTTATGTTCTAAGCTATATGCTTATGATCTAAGCTATAAATTATGTTCTAAACTTCATTCTTATGTTCTAAACTGCGTGTTCTAAGCTACGAGATTATGTTATAAAGTACATGTGTAAAACTATATGCTTATGTTCTAAAATAGGTACTTATGTTCTAAACTATATTCTTATGTTTTAAATTATGTGTTTATGTTCTAAACTACATGCTTATGTTCTGATTTTATTGTTCTGATTTTAGGGAGCTTTTGTATGCTGATAACATGGGGACAACGATTACGAGAGATGAGATTCATAGTCTCATAGAAGATAAGCACATGTTGAACAATGTTGTGGATGCTTATGTTTGCCTATTGAATTTTGAAAATAAAAGACGTGGTGTAGACAAGAAGAGTAGATTCTTTTTCAGTACTGAATGCTATGTATGTTTTCGAACTTAAAATTATAACTATGTTCTAAGAGTAGATTCTTTTTGTTTCTCATATAGATTATACTATGCACCTATGTTCTAATTACTTATGTTTTAATTTCTTTTTCTTTTTCAGCTCATATGTTGTACAGAAAAATACTTCAAATCAAATGAAAGGCAAGATGATAGAATGAAGGCTTTGTTTGATAGAATGCAGCAAGAAATGACAACGACCGGAGTAACAAGCTTCAAAAGCATTCAATTGGTAATTTGGTATCTTATTATGTTGTACTTTTTTCTTATTATATGTTCTAATTATTGGTTTTGTTTATGTTCTAATTATTTTTATCTATGTTTTAAAGTATCTACTTATGTTCTAAACTACTTATTTATCTTCTAAACTACTTACTTATGTTCTAAACTACATGTTATAAAAATTATATGCTTGTGTTCTAATCTATATGCTTATGTTCTAAAATGCATGCTTATGTTCTAATTTTGCTTATCTATGTTCTAATTCTGTTTATCTATTAGGTTTTCTTCCCGGTCGTTTTACCAGATCACTACTATTTGCTGTGTGTCAACTTTGTGGAAGGAACATTTGATTTGATTGACAACATATTTCTTCCACCAAATATTCCTTTTCACAATAAATATGGAAATTACCATAGATTAATGGTAAGACATCAAGTTTACATTTTTTTAATTATACTTTTGTTCTAACTTTTGCCTTATATGTTCTACAGTTTTTCTTTATGTTCTAAAGTTTACCTTATATGTTCTAAAGTTTATCCAATTTTTCAGTTGAATGCATTTGCTGATTTCGTTCACTCAATTGACTCAAATATAAAGAGTGACTTTGTATCCTCCTTCAAAACAAGAAACTTGAGTATGTCATGGAAGAGCAATAAGAACAAACATGATTGTGGAGTGTTCCTGTTGAAGCACATGGAAACATATGAAGGAGAATCTGTAAAACAATGGAATTCGGGACTAGAATTAGACAATGTAAGTTTAAAACATAAGATACATGTTTTAAATTAGTTTCGTTTATGGTTTTGGTGTTATGGTTTTAGTGTTGTGGTTTGGTTTGGTTATTGTTTAGATATATTATGGTTTATTATATTTATTTATACTTATATGCTAAATTATATTCATGTTCTAAATTATATGCTTATGTTCTAAAGTATTTCTGTTTATGTTCTAAAAGTTACTCTTTTTTTTTTTTTGCAGTTTGACCAAATGTTTATGTTTATGTTCTAAAAGTTACTCTTTTTTTTTTTTTTTTTTTGCAGTTTGACCAAATGAAAAAATTAAGAGTGGAGTATTGTGGGAAGATAATAACAGCAGAAGTAAATGAAGAACGGAACAAAGTGATTAGGAGATCAAAAAAGTGGTCAAAGGAGAACAAAATGGATATATGATTGTTAAGATCTTAAGTTTATATTTGTAGAGAGATATTTGCAAAGAATATAACAGTAATTTTTTATGTTCTATGTATTTACCTGTTACAAGAAATATATTGTTGAATCATATTAAATGCTAAAATTTTAATATAAAATATATCATATAAACTTATATGCTAAATTATATTCATGTTCTAAATTATATGGGTATGTTCTAAAGTATTTTTGATTATGTTTTAATAATTATATGCTTATAAAGTTAGGATATTAGAATATATTATTATATATTAATTTTGACTTAAAACTTAAAGTGTAGAACATTAGAACATAAGAAAATTAAAAAAAAGTAACAAGAAATGACAACAGCCAAAGTAACAAGATTCCAAAGCATTCAATTGGTAACTTGATTCTAATTATATCTTATTATGTTGTACTTTTTTCTTATTACATGTCCAAATTATTGATTTTGCTAATCTTCTAATTATTTTTATCTATGTTCTAAAGTATTTGCTTATGTTCTAAACTGGCTGCTTCTAATCCATTACTTTTGCTTTATTTTTCCTTTTGAATACAATGCATACACTCTTTAGTGCATATCTAAGAAGGCATATGTAAATCAATGTTAAGAAACTTGAATAAATAAAAGTTGATTAAAGCAAGATTCAACTAAATGTTGTTTAATAAAGGTATCTAAAATGCTTGTACTATCATTACTCGTAGTTCAAATTGACTTAATAAAACAACTTATAATTACGAAAAGGGGGGAAGATGAAAAGACAGGAGATGTTATAAAACATTATAATCAACTTTAATTAACATAAAAATTGATAAGAAAAACACTAGTAGAGATACTCTGAATAATAATTGGACAAAAAAGAAATAAAAATATATTGTTTCTAAAAGTAAATAAATTGAGTTCTTATATTTTAAGAATTACATGAATAATATTTTACGTGCTAGTAAATGAGATATTGTTTCTAAATATATAACATCTCATGCAACTGGATTAATAGTATATTCACCAACCTGTAAAGAAAAAAAAATAAAACAATATTAGAACATAAGCACATAATTTAGCATTAAAAAATGTTATAACATGCCATTTCTATTAGTTTAGAACACATGATATTATATAGAGTAAAAACTTTAGAACATTTAAAGAAACCTTTAAAACATATAAAGAAAACTTTAGAACATATAAAGAAAATATTTTGAACATAAAGAGAAAAGTTAAAATATAAAGGAAAACTTTAGAACAAAATGAATAACTTTATATTCTAAACATTAGAGCATATTAAATTACACTAAAACAGAAAGAATAAACATTAGAACATAGAGAAAACACTTTAGAACATAGAAAAGTAACTTTAGAACAAAGAGAAAACACTTTAGAACATATTGAATTACTTTAGAACATATATGAATAACTTTATGTTCTAAACTTGCTTAAAACATAATTACTTTAGAACAAAATAAATATAAGAAAATTAAAAATAAAGTTTACTTACAATATCACTTGACTTTTCCAGGGCAATTACGACTATCATGATAACCAAGCTCCCCACATGCTCTACATAATCTCTTCTTCTTTTGACTTTGTTCAATAGACTTTTCTCTGTCACTCTTCATTCTTTTGTCACTATTTGGAACATGAACCTCATTTGGAACATGGACATCATTTGGAACATTTACCTGATTTGGAACATGAACCTGATTTGGAACATGGACATCATTTGGAACATTGACCTGATTTGGAACATGAACCCCCGTGCCTTTGTTCTTCGAAATTTTAGGAGGTTTGATTAAAACATTAGAAGGTAGACTAGCTCCAATAAGCATTTCAATGTCTTTAACTTTGCTCGAAAGATTGTTGCTTCCATTTGTTTTCTTCTGTTCCAAATCTACCCTCATGGCTCGAAGTTTTTTGACAAGATCACTAAGATCATCTTCATTGTTTTGCACTAAACTCACACAAGCATGAATTTCAGACCACAAATCATTTAATAACATTTTCTTATCTACTGCATTAATACATTCCTCCAACACATTACCCTCTAAATCAAAAATGGGCTTCTTATAAGCCATTGTACACCATCTATTTAGAATGTAGGCCTTGGGAATTTTTTCTAACATCCTTGTCTTCCACACCCAAATCATATGCCTACAAGGCACACCATCACGTTCAAATTTTTTACAAAAACACTTGGTATCAAAGGTAGTTGGATCAAAAACAACATCAAAAGTCCTCCTTCTAGTTCCTTCCCTCAAATTGAAAATGTAAAGCTCATTGTCCTTCTTCATCTCCTCAACACCACAATTAAAACATCCAATTTCAAGCTCATATTGAAATTCATAGAAAATTGTTGTTGTAAACAATTCAGAAGCATCTTTCTCTAAAGGAATTGGAGTCTTACACTCCGGACGCTTATTCTTCGAATCATTATCCATTTTATTTTGAGTGTGCCTTTGAGCATCCAATGCACATTCAAACCTATAGAAAATAGAAATTAACTTTAAAACATAGAAGATAATTGTAGAACATAGAGTGAATTACATTAGAACATATAAATATACATGACATGTTTATTATGATCTAAATATTATTAAAACATAAAGAGAAAAAGAAAACATAAAAGAGAATTATAAAATAAATAGTAAAACTATAAAGCATAAAAAGAAAACTTTAGAGCATACAAGGAAAACTTTAGAACATACAGAGTAACTTTAGAACATATATAGACAATTACTTATTACCTCATGTAGAACTCAATCAAAGTGAGATGGGGATTTGTGAACATAGTGAAAAAATTATTTTCACTTTCTGATCTAGATGTGGTTCTCATAATGCCACCCAAAAATAAATCTCTGAAATACGCTGGAATCCACATATCACGTATGTTGTACATGTATGCCAACCATTCATGATCGTTCAAATGGAATTCTGAAATAACTTTGTTCCACTTTTCTTCAAATTCTGCCGGCTCAATCTCTAAATGCCAAACACATGAACACAGTTTTTTCAAGAAATCAGTGTCTTGGGCAATCGCCCGACCTACTTTTTCAGGCACCTTTTTCATAATATGCCACATACAAAACCTATGTTCTGTAGTTTGAAAAACATTACGAACAACAACTTTCATTGCAGGGTCTTGATCGGTAATCAAACACACAGGCTCGTTATTTCCCATTGCTTTAAGAAAAGTTTTGAAAACCCATTCAAAAGATGATATATCCTCATGAGCTACAAAAGAAGCCGCAAAAGTAACACATTTTTTATGATGATCAACTCCAGTAAATGGACCAAAGATCATATTATATCTGTAACATACACAAATTATTTATGCAGAAAATAGAGGTAAACTTTAGAACATAGAGGTAAATTGTAGAACATAGAGGTATACTTTAGAACATTAAGGATAAACTTTAGAGGATAGTAATTTAATTTAATTATTAAACGTGGCAGTAATATAGTTGTTTTAAAACATAATGAATTACTCTAAAACATAAACACTAAACTAAAAATATACAATGTAGCTTTAAAAACTTATAAGTAAACTTTAGAACATATAGACATAATGTTTAGAACATGATGGATATTAGTTTAGAACACAAAGAATAAAGTGTAAAACACAAAAGCATAATGTTTAAAGCATAAAAGCATGATGGATATATTTTAAAGCATAAGGTAGAACATTAGCAATATATGTTTAGAACATAAGGCATACATAGTTTAGAACATAAAGAATATTTGTTTAGAACATCAAAACATGATGGATATTTGTTTAGGAACACAAGGCATGATATTTAGAATATAAGAACATATGTTTAAAAAATTAATATGTAAAAGTAAAATATTAATTACATTATGAAAGAAATTTATATTTAAAACATCACCTGTTTGTTTTGAATGTGGTATCAAAAGAAACCATATCACCAAAAAGTGCATAATTTTTTCGACAGATTGGATCAGCCCATAAAGCTCTACAAAGTCTATCTTCTTCATCAACATCATAGGAAAAAAAAAATGCACTCCAGAGCAATTTCTTATTTTGAAAATTATCCACAAACATTTGGGCATCTGATCCATCAATAAAAGCCTTCAAATCTCTATAAAAATTTTTGAAATCTTGTTTAGATGCACCAACATTATCATGTGATCCAGCTAATTCTTTCATCATAGTATAAGACCTCACAGGACCAACATTTACCTGTTAGAAAAAAAAAATATTACTAAGATTAAGAATTAACTTTAGAACATAGTAAATCAAAACAAAAAAAAACATTATTTAGTACATAAAAATAAATCACCTTTGAATTATCAATAATCAACTTTTTATGCATAATATGCATTTTTCTATTATCCTTCTGAAATTTTGCACAACTTGGAGTATATAAAGGATGATTATGTTCTTCTTTGAAATGAGTTACAACATACTTTCCAGCATCATATCTCATACATATGTGAGCATTGCATCCTACACGAGTGACTAAACGTTTCCTAGTAATACGAACTTTTCCTTCTTCATAAACTGTTTGTTGAGCAATAGGTTTTCTTATTGCCCTAAAACCTTCCTTATTGCAAACTCCATATTGAAAAGCAATTATATCTTTGCTATTCTTCTTCCTTTTAGTAGTAGATTTCCTAGAAGTAAACCCAGCGGCATTTGCATATGCTTTATAAAAACTAAGACCCTCTTCAGGATCTTTAAATATCATCCCCAAACTGGGTTTTAACTCCTCGGGAACACTTGGAATCCATTCCTTAGTGGTACCACCAGGGCTAAATGATCCAACAACCTCTAGAGTACGATAAATATCACCAACTGCATTAGAACATGAAAGTAAACATTAGAACATAAAAATAAACTTTATAATATAAAGAGAAAGATACATAAAAAACTTTAGAACATACAGAGAAAACTTTAGAACATCAAAGATAAACTTTAGAACATCAAGGATAAACTTTAGAACATATAAAATCAGGGACATACTTATAACATAGTGAATTACTTTATAACATACATAATAAAATTTACAATAAAGTGAAAAAATTAAACTAGAAGGTTAACTTTAGAACATACAATGAAAGTAAACATTAGAACATAAAAAGTAAAATTTAAAATTAGAAGGTAAACTTTAGAACATAGAATGAAAGTTTTAGAATATAAAGAGAGAGATATATAGAAAACTTTAGAACATACAGAGAAAACTTCAGAACATTACAGATAAATGTTAGAACATAGTAAAGAAACTTTAGAACATGTAAGTAAATTGAAATTAAAACATTGAAAACAATAAAATTACCTGAATGAGTAACACAGGAAGAAGGATAATTAGGTTGCACACCATCTAAATCCATCAATATGCATAAACCTATTTTGAAAAACACAAATTGTAGCAAAAAAGCAACCAGAAATTAAAATCCATTAAAAATCAAAAATCTGGAAAACAAAATAGGATAAAATCGAAAACGATGTTGAAAAACTCAAGCAAAGGAAAAAAACAGAAAAATCTGGAAATAAAAAATCTGGAAATAAGCAAAGGAAATAAAATCTAGAAATAAAATTTGGAAAAATCTGGAAATTGAAGAAGAAAAAGAAAACTAGAAAACGAAATTGATGAAATTAATGAAAAAACTCAAACAATGCTCTACCCGTTGAGCTAGTAGGCTAATGTATATAAAACACTTGAACTAGAGGAAAAACTACTAACAACTATATGAGATAATCACAAAAGTAATTTTTTTTTGTTTAATCATATCCTTTTGCACTTCTAAACACTATCTTTAGCATCGTTTATTGTAATTTGATGATCGATTACTTGCATTAAGGTGGGTTCATTATATTGGCTATATAATCAATCTATCATTAGTAGTCCTTTAAAGCAAAAGTTATCCCAAGTTAAGACTAGTGCTAATTAAACAAGCTTTGACAAACATGCTAAGATTGTCTACTTTAGAACACAATGAATTACTTTAGAACATAAAGAGTAAACTTAATATATGCTAAATAAAAGTTTAGAACATGCTAAGATAGTTAAATAATAGTTTAGAATATAATGAATTACTTTAGAACACAAAGAGTAAACTTTATAACATAGATGGAAAATTTTAGAACATAGAAGGAAAACTTTAGAACATCTTGAATTATTTTAGAACATAATGAATTACTTTATGTTCTAAATTTCCTTATAACATAGTGAATTATGTTCTAAATTTGATTTGCTTAGAACGTAGTAAATTACTTTATGTTCTAAATTTGTTTAGAACATAGCTATGTTCTAAATTTGCTTTTACTTAGAACATAGTGAACTATATAAAATCTAGAAATAATAAAATTAAAAAAAAAAAAGGAAAAGGAAAAAACCACCACCACCCTTTTCCTCTTCCCAGCCACCAAATTCGCCGCCATCGCTACCCTAGCCGCCACCTAACCTTTCTCTACCCAGCCAACCCTAACCTCGCCGGTGAACAGATCCCCTGTGCCGGGGACCCACCCAGCCTCCCCACCCCCCTTTTTCCTTTTTCCTTTTTCCTTTTGAGAAAAAATTAACGCATCAAAATCGCAGCATACACAAATCGCAAAAAGCTGGAAAATTTTGAGAAAAAATCGCAGCAAATAAAACAGCATCGAAATCGCAAAAGAAAACCGAACAAAAAAAATCAAAATAAGAACAAACAATTCGAACAATCAAACAATCGAATTGATAAATAATCGAGCAAAATAAATATACATCGAATAGAAAATCGCCAAAAACAAAATCGAATAGAAAATTCGCAAAAAATCGCAAAAATATTGACGAAAACATGAATTAATCAGTAAAAATCGAACATAAATCGCAGCAAAAATTGAGAAATAAACGCATCAAAATCGCAGCATACAAATCGCAAAAATCAGGGAAATATTTGAGAAAAAATCGCATAAAAACGCAACAAAATCACATCAAATTGCAGCAAAAAATCGCATCAAAATCGCATAAAATTCGTAGCAAAATCGCAGCAAAATATTCGCTAAACAATATTGAGAACAATTACATAGAAAATGCTCAAAATAATCGCATGAAATTAATCGCATCAAAATTGCATGAAAAATCATTAAATTTAAAACAAATCTGATTATAAAATTAATAAACTTACAATAATTAATCCAAAATCTGTGAAAATATCGTGATGAATTTGATGAACTTTCGCCAATCTGTTGAATTGAGGAGAGGGAGAAAGCAAGAATTTTAGAGAGAGAAAGCTGAGAGTTGAGAAACATAAAATAACTAGATGAAGGAAGAGGAAAAAGAATTTGAATAAACTCCTTCAAATTACAAAAATGTCATTACTAATCATTCATTTTGAGCGGTCAGATCAAGCTAATTCCACGGTCCAGATTAGTTCTTATATATAATGGGTTCTTATATAGAGGAGGGTTCTTATATGAGCCTTCCTCTATATATATATATATATATATATATATATATATATATATATATATATATATATATATATATATATATATATAATACATAAAATTAGTTTTGTGTCCCGGGATGCCCAGGTTGTTTATTAAATTTTAGGATAAACATTTTAGCTTGAATGTTAAACCGGTCATATAATCACTTTTGATAATGCAGGATATATATTTAGACATGCGATATTATACTTAAATTATTTTTTACTAAATTGAAAGTATTTTTACCGATTAAAACTTATTTTTTACTAATTCTCTATTATTTTGAATATATTATAAATGGATCTTATTTTAAAGAACTTTTTTAAATAAATTTTATGATGGAAATAGAACCGGGTTATTAGTTTTTTATTAAAAGTTATGATTAGTTTTCTATAAATGAAATATTAGTAGTGTATCGATAATAAAACTCTATACAACATTTTTATCTTCAAAAATCTATCCAATATTCAATTATTTAGCATCATATGTGTCACAATAATACCTATTTGTCCGTTTGTCGCCTACGTGGCACGACACTTGGTGAAAAATTTGAATGCCAAGTGTCGATGTCTCGTGACCTGGGTGCGAGACCGACTTTATTTGTTAGTGATATCATATGATATGATATTAGATTTAGGATTTTCCCTATAAATTTTTTATCTTTCATTTGAAAGAGTTTTTCTTTTTTTGGGTCTTAGCAGTTTGTCTTGATTTTATCTTATTTACTTTGGTGTTGTTTTTATTTATTAGGATATATTTGTTAATTTAATTCGGTTAGTAGATGATAGATTAACTTTAAAGCTCATATTTGCAAAATATTATCGAATTAGTTTCCTAGTTGTATTAGATCGTGGTCTGCACGATTTTAAGCTAATTATTTAGGTTATAAATACGTGGTTAAGAATTAATTAAAAAAAAAAATTAGTTTTAAGCGTTTGTTAATTGATGAGCGTAAGAGCTATCTAGGTTGGGAGATTTTTCTGTGTGGCCAACTGTGTGGCCGAGGTTACTTAAGTTACTCGGTCAGGTGTTACTCAAGTAACCCCTGACTGAACTCCTCAAGTAATTCCTGACCGAGTAACCCCTGACTAAGCGAGTACCCCCTGACCGAGTAACCCTGATCGACTAACCGCTGAGCAAGTAACCCCTCAAGTAGCCCTGACTGAACCTCTCAAGTAACCCTTGACCGAGTAACACGATGTGACCAGCCATATATAAAAATTTATGAGCTAGGTTTAGTTATTGAACTGATGTAGAAAGTGAAATTGCATCAATTATGTTGGAGGCTATTTAGCTTTTCCCAATTACACAAGATGGGATGAACAAAAGGAATTATTAACATTAGAATAGAGTAAAGATTTTAATAAAAAATGAAGTTTCTATCTTCATAGTTCGATTAGTTTCCCTACTTCAAAACCAAATTTAACACTTTCTTTCCTTAGTTTTCTCTACCTATTTTCTTCCCTTTTTTTTTTCTTTTTCTTTTTCACTTTTTATGCTAATAAATTTCATTCCTTTATTACGAAAATGCCCCTATTATTTGTGAAGAGTATAACAACTGTTATTGAATAAAAACGACTCCGTTTTCCGCTGCGTCGCTGCACCCCTCTCCCCTTTCTCTCTCTCCTCCATTGAAGCGAACTCTGAATTCTCCATTGAAGCGGCTTCTAAGCTTTCTTTCCTCCATTGGAGCAGCTTCTGAGGTAAGATATCTTTTTGTTCTTTTCGTTAATAATCGAATATTAAATAAATTCAAAATCTTGAATTGTATTTCAATTTAAATTTTAGTATAGTCAATTTAGGGTTCTTCCAAGGTGAATAATTGAACTATTGATTATGATTGCTGAAGTTATTAAAGATTATAATGAGCGATTTCGTTGCTAGAATTTTGATGTGAATTTGAGCGAGAAGAATTTAGGGCGATTTTTCGAGCCGAATTTGATAATTGAGTCAAATCTGGTTGCTAATGTGTTGCAGGATTTTGATTATATAACCCTTTAATGTTAGGTCAGAATTATGAAAAAAATGAAAATGGACCTGTTTTCCATGGGCCCAGGGCGCCCGCCCGTCATGCCCTGGCTTAGGGACGGTCCTGAATATCGGCATGCTGTGGAAACCACGGCCGAGTCAGAGGGTTTTGGGAGTTCGGGTCGGGTAGACACGGAGATGACGCTTTCTGAGGATTCGTGTTCTCCAAAGAGGAAGCGTATCAGTTTAAATGGGGATAGTCATGATCAGTTTGGGGTTCCTATGCAAGTTTTGTCATTTTCGAAGATGTCGAGATTAGAAAGGAAGGATTTGGAGGTTCGGTTGAGGAGGGAGCTTGAAGAGATTCGGATTTTACAGAGGAGAGTTGCATCGTTTAGTACAAGTGCTGCTGTTTTATCACCAGCGAGTGACATTCGTAGTTGTAGTGATGGGCAGAAGAGGCCTCCACTTGAGAATCCTCTAAGACGGCCTGAGCATCCAGTTCAGGGGAAGAAACAGCCTGTAGGTCGTAATGGTGCTCGTGTGAAAAAGGGGTTTTCTAAACAAGTTGATCCTCCAAAGCAAGTCACATCAGTAAATACAGCTAACCCTATGCTGATGAAGCGATGCGAAAACCTCTTGAGTTGGTTGATGGGACATCAGTATGGTTGGGTTTTTAATGAACCTGTTGATGTTGTCAAGCTAAATATTCCTGATTATTATACTGTGATAAAGCATCCCATGGATTTTAGTACAATCAGAAACAAGTTATCTAGAGGGGAATACACTAATCCATTGGGCTTTGCTTCGGATGTTAGGCTTACTTTTTCAAATGCGTTGACATACAATCCACCTGGAAATGATGTTAATTTCATGGCCGATGCACTTAGTAAATCTTTTGAACAGAGGTGGAGAGTAATTGAGAAAAAGATCCCAACCAATACAGATGCTCAGGTATTGCCTTCACACTTAAATGCCCCCATACGAAATGAACCAACAGCCCATCATATTCCACCTTCTAAGAAAAAGAAGGTTGCTCCTGTGGGATATGTAGGGAAGTCAGAGCCTGTTAAGAAGGTCATGACAGTTGATGAGAGACATAAATTGAGCACGGAATTAGAGGCATTAATTACTGAATTGCCAGATACTATAATCGAATTCTTGAAAGAAAATAGTTCTGGTGATGGGCAAGATGGTGAGGAGGAGATTGAAATTGATATTGATGCTCTCAGTGATGATGTGCTGTTTAAGCTACGAAAGTTGTTAGATGACTTCCTGTTGGAGAAAAAGAAGAATGAGGCAAGGGCTGAGCCCTGCGAAATGGAGGTACTTCTTTATGATGTATCCTATTTGTGGGTTCAAATTCTTTATTTACTATTTTTTTTTTCTTTTTTGGAAAGAGCTTACTCCTAGTTTCTCCCCCTGTCATGTGTTTGTGACTTATGACAGTTATGAGCATCTGATTAAAACACTGACTTTTTGTGCATTTTGTGTAACAACTGCGATGTTTATATGATTTCTTTCTTGATTTCCTCTCTTTGTTTCAGTTACATAATGAGTCCGGGTTTAGCAATTCATCTATTCAAGCTGGAAAAGGTATTTCTGATTCATTTAGAAGGATACTTGGGATAAAATGCTAATATAGGAGTGATTCCTTTGTTTAACTATTTAATTTTCTTTATTTGTTGCTCCGGATGGTTCATGTCTCAGGCAATGATGCAGTTGATGAGGAAATTGATATTGGAGGTAGTGATCATCCTATTTCAAGCATCCCTCCAGTAGAGACAGAGAAAGATACAGCCAATAAGAACAATAGATGCGGTAGTCCTACCAGTTCCAGCAGTGACTCAGGTTCATCATCTAGTGGTTGGTCCTTTAGTCAACCTTTTTGCTTTGATTCCTTTTCAAGAGGTCTTTATTGTATATAATTGACAGTTATGAATGGCTGTACTTTCCCATACGTCCATAGAATTATTTGGCTAAAACCGGCAAGCCTTCGTGGCTTTGTTTATGCTTGCATTGTATTTATAACCATATTCTTGACCTACTCCATCCTTTTTTCTAAATCTTATTTATTTATTTATTTTAGGCTTTTCCACATATATTAAGAAAACTAGTCAGGTGGCCTTTAAATTAGTTAAATGTGTGCTAAATAACAAGATGTACAGAGCGATAAAAAGGTAGTAAGATAACATTAGGATGTATGAGTATATGAATTGCTTATTAACTAAAGTAGTAGGAATGTAGGATGGCTTTTCTTGATTATGTATAATTTCTAGCTTCTAATTTACGGGTAACATAGTACAACCTCCTATTCTAACAATTTTTTAACATTTATTGTTTGCATAATAATTAATGCAATTGGAAAGAGACGTTGATGTGGTGAATGGGTGAAAGAAAAAGGTGGATAATCTAAAAGGTGAATGGGTGTACAAAAAAGGTCAGTAAAGTAAGAGAGAATGAGTGAAACAATGTAAATATTATAGGGTTTAAGGTTTAAGGTAATAAGGATTTGTTCTCGTCACCATATTTATGGTGTTCTTATTTAAATTTTTAAAGTTCTAGTTTGGTTTTGTCTTTGATCAGAGTTATTATCTTTATGATATTGTTTGATTTGATGCGAATTTTTCTGGATGTGGTCCAATTTTAATATGAACAA